TTGTATTATCTCCTTTCCTTTTTCTTGTGCTGTAAATTTTCGCACCTGGTTATCGCTTTGTAGTTATGATCTAACCTGTCTCTTAACTCCTTTATAATGTTATCCTTTTCTTGTGAGGAATGAACTTTGCAAGTACAGGAGCAAGAAGGCTTAGAGGCATCCATGGTTGATTGTTGAATGTTGACCGTAGACGTGAGGTTGATTGAAGTTTCTGCAAATTTTCGGACCTTGAAGTGTAGCTTGGTCCTTGAGAAAAATAGCCTTAACCTTGGTGTAAGGTTCACCTTTGGTGTTGGAGTTTTGGACTTTGGAGTTTAAAGTGGCTCAAAACTAGCTCTTTGGAAAAAATAGATGAAAAGTGTACACTTTCAAGGAGAGGTGGAAAGTGAGCTTCTTTAACTTTCCCACACCTAAACTCCTTTAGAACTTTGGAGCCTATATATATGAACCATTGCTCACTTAATATTAAAAGGTGAAGGAGAAGAGGGGAGCTCTCGCGCACACAAGAATTCCGACTTTCAGTTCAAAATCGAAAATTCGCACCCCCCCCTGCGCGGGCGACCTGCGGACACGATAGCCGTAGAATTCAGCGGGTCTCAAAGAACAATTTTTGCCCCTCTTTCCTTTTTTTTCGGTCTCAATCTGCTTTCTTTCTCGATAATTGACTACTCTGGAAGAACCTGTACTTCTCGAAAACTTGTACTTTTCGATGTTCCTAAAAACCTGTACTTCTCGATATAGCTTTTCGGTGTACACTTGCGAGAGACCTGTACTTCGAGAAAATCTTTTCGGTCGAAAACTTGTGCTTTTCGATTTTGCCTTCGAGAAAACCTTTTCGGTGTTGCTTTTCGATGAATCTTCGAGAACCTGTGTGTCGAGAAGCTGTATCGAAAACTTGTATATCGAAATACAAATATCGAGAACTCAAGTATCGAATAACGTTTATCGAGAAACGAATATCGAGAAACTCAATTCGAGAACTCAGATGTCGAGATCCTGCACTTTAAAAAATCAGATTTTCGCAATTCCAAAACTACTTCTGCAAAGTCCTTTGCTGCGAGAAACACCCTGCACTATTTTCGAATCGAGATGAACTTCCTCACCTCGAGAAACCTGTTTTTCGATATCAGATTATCGAGAAATCGAAAATCTAAATCTTACACAAATGAAAAATGAAGATATGCCGCTGAATCCTTTCGAGATGCCGACTCTAGCAGTATAACTTTTACACTTGAAATAGCAGAAACAGATTTACAAGAGCAAAAATGAGAAGACATCGAGAAACATAAAACAAAGCATTTTTTCGCAGTTTCTTCGGCAGATAATCTTCAATCGATTTCACGCTCGGCTCTGATACCAATTGTTTGTCCCTATTTCATCCAACAATCATACAAAATATAGAGTAGAGAAGAAACAAATTATCCCATTCAATACCAAAATGATCGAGAAATACAGAGTTGGGTATCGAGAAGGGAAGTATCGGCTCTCTCTCTAGACTACAATGATATGCGCGTGAATAATCTGTCAAAGCCTCTTTCTCACATTCCCTTAAAGGCAATATTTATATGCCTAGGGAATGTGTGATGTGACCTAAACATGATTGGGCTCTTTTATTGATTGGGCCCAATAGCACACTTTACACATTTCCTAAGAAAGCTAGTCTAATAATAGCTGAAATATCTAGACAAAATAGCTACACAAATACAAAGATATTTATCAGGATTGGACACCAGAAAAAGTCCTAACAGACTTGAATCAATTTACAACCCATCTTTCTACATATGTAAATATGTGGAACCATAAAAAGGGTTCTTCATATGCTATATAAGTCATATGATGGTTAAAAAATGAAGGAAAACTCATTCTGAGGTCCTTACCTTAATACACCTCACTTTTCCTCCTTTTCCCTTCTTTAAATTTCCTCCTTGAACCTTCTTGAGCTTGAGCTTGTTCTTGGCTATGGGGAATAATATTTTCTGGGAGGTTTTTCCTCTTGCTTGAGATATGCTGGCCGAATGAATGATGGTGGTGAGGGGGGGATGGATTGCTTTTGTTTTGTTTGGACCAATGAGTGAGGAAAATGGGGTCATGGGTGTACCTTTGATGCTCATCACCTCACCTCTCTCCTTCTAAGTTAAACAGCCCCATATTTGTCTACTCTAGCACACAAAAACGTGGGGTGGCCCCCACTCATGTGGGAGGTCATCCCTTTGTGTCCCGATGTGTACAATCGGTCCCAAAAGTTGTATTTTTCGGACTGTTTTAAATATATTTTATTTTATCGGGTGAAATAAAATATATTACATGTTCTCAATCATTATGACCCCTATAATGAATATACATTCCCCAACTTTAATTTATAAGCCTCCGAAATTCATTTTGGGCTGTTATCTGTGAAATTACCAAAATCGGTAATTGAGCCACCTTTGACCAATCGGTCCACATTATGTCTTTTCTTTGGCCCAAATAAACTATACACCACTATATAAATATCATCTCAACCAAGGTGAATAAAACATATGGTCTCGAGAATATCGGGCGGCCCCCACTCCCGTGTGGGCCCCACGTGCAATTTACTATTCACTCGTAAGAAATAACTTCGTAAATTCATTAACAATTCCATAAGGCTCAATACATTATTATTCACTTAAAAGTAAATATATTTGGGGACGATGTTACATAAGTATGAGCATGCCCTGGCAGTGAATGATCCGGGGTGGAGTTCAGTAACTTGGGGTTGTGGTTTGGGACGAAGCTGGATCTGGTTGGGTAGATTGGGGTCCTATGAGGGTTTGGGCGGGTCAATTCAGCAAACGGACATATGGAATTGAGCGAGCGCAACGGGAAGAGTTAGACAGAAGGGTTTGACCCAGATAGCAGTAAGCGTGCCGGAGCGGCGGCGGCGGGTGCAGAAGAAGTTAAAGAATTCGGAGGATGAGGAAGATGAAGTAGCACAAAGAAAGACAAACATGAATGCCGAGTTGTTCGAGCCAAAAAACGGAACGGAGGCAAGCCAGGTCGAGTCGGCTCGCCGAACCTATTGAGAGTTGAGATTGGGCCTTTATTTTATTTTTGTTAGTTTTCATAAGTACTTAGTTTGATTTGAGTTTGTTGTTTTAAATAAAGTGTGGGGGTGGTGGGGAGTTGGTTGTTTTATTAGGTAGCCTTTCACCCCATTTAGAAATATTGAGGCTATAAAAGTCGTCTTTGTCTTCAAAACTGTCATATGGTTGGCGAAACGGTATTTCTAGTGTGACCATTTCTATGTCTGATCATATAGCGAGAGGATCATTGGATTTTGAGTCTAACGAGGGTTTGGGTAACCAGTTTGAGTCTGATATACCTCTCTAATATAGGCGATTTCCTTTCAAAATAATGGAATAAATGTCTTGAATAATGAGTATGTCTGAGACAAAACATGTTTTTCTAGATATTTTGTGAATAGTTTAAAAAAGTTCATGAATATATGCAGTCTAGGAGGTATAATTGAGATGAATATTTATTTATTTTTTCAATATAAAACACTTTAGATTACATAAAAATAAAATTTACTAGTAATAAGCAGCCAAAATATCACCATCATGCAACAAAACTACAATATACGAAGTACATACGTAAAAGACATAATAGATCAATTTAACTACTCTGTATATTATTTTGGGAATGAAAAGTGCAAATGCATTTATAAACTAAACTGAACCAAAAATATAATAACTTTACATTTAATAAGAAATATGTAATACATATAACACAAAACGTTAATTTTCTAGCGCAAGAAAACCAAAGACATAATATTATTACAATTAGTGCTTAACGATTAACAAATAAAATTTCATATTTTAATTAGTTTGATTTACACAGTTTGGTTTTGTTTTGAAGGGACAAATCCAAAACTGAACCAAACAAATACAGCTCTGTTCACTTTTAACATAGGTATCAGTTTTTTTGCGATTCAATTTATTTTGATTCAATTTTTGCTTTTTCAGACCCAACACTACGTTTTAGTAATTATATTGCTAATTACTACACGGATTACAAAAGACAAATTAAGGGTTTCAACTGTACTCTTCCAAACATTACTACACGGAGTCACGGATTACACGGAATTTTTGGAAAGTCCGTAATAAATACCTCTATGATAATAAAAAGGCCAACATTGCATAGACAATCACTGCTATTGAAACTGATACTTTTGACTAGTGGACCCGGGCCGGGCCGGTTCCGGTTTGGGCCTAGGCCCGGCCGGGCTTTTTTTGGGAAGGAAGAACCGGAACCGGCCCGGGTAGGCAGCGGTTCCGGGCCGGTTCATGTTATTTTTTTTATTTATCTTTTTCTTTTCTAATTAACCCCCGACCCCCCCCCCCCCTTCACCCCCCAACCCCCCCCCCAAACACTCAGACCAACCCGGGAGAAACCAAAACAATTGAAAGAAAAAAAAAATGTCGGGCCGGTTCCACTTTTAGGAGGCCCGAGCCCGCCCCGTTTAACTCCCGGTTCGGGTGGCCCAGACCATTCCTATGACCGGGTACTAGGCCGGGCCGGGCCGGGCCCAAACAGCACCGGTTCCGGGCCGGTACCAGGCCGGGCGGCCCGATCCGAGTCCATGACTACTTTTGACATGTTGGTTGGCAAGGCTTTCACCACTCCTAACCTGAATGTTCCCTTTAATATTATCACTACCCCAGCTCAGAAGTGCACCAGACCCTCTCAGCTTAAGAATTGGACTAACTGACTATTGACTAAAGGTGTTTTTTATTTGGACTGAATTTTTTTTATCTGAACTGGTCTAAAAGATGTACGGTGTCTATGTATTTTATGAACCCATTTGGTAGCACGAAAATCGGCTGTTTTGGCTGATTCTGCTGAATTTTATGAAATTCTGGCTGAAGTGGCTGCATTGGCTGATTCTGCTAATATAAGAAAAAAATATTTTTAAAATATATTTTATTAATAAAATAAAGAAAAAATTATATGTAAAAATAGCTAAAATTGTCATCTACAGTAACTTCAGCCAATACAGCCAGAAAAGTAACTCTAACCTTACTTTTTCTGCTTATTACATAATTCAGCGCGCGAAAGGAAAATTTACGTGTTTGGTGAAAAAGTTGGCTGATAAGCCTGATAAGCCGAAAATCATGGTTGCCAAACGGCCTCTATAAGTGTTGAAGTCTAGTCTGGTTTGTTAAAATCTAGTCTCATCATTTGGAACTGAAATAAATCCAAGTAAAAACATCATAAGCCCCCCAATTTCTTACTACTTTTGGCAGTGCCTATTCTTGATTGCAATACAACGCCCCTAGTATGTAATACTAAGGTCAAGATATATGGGAATCTAATTATGAAGTCTACAGTTGAAAATAGATATGGGTGAGCATTGGTACGATACTGAACATGAGGGAGGGAGGGAGGGATTAGATTAGATTAGATAGATAAATAAAAGTAACTTCGAATGAATCACATTTCCAACACATCAGATCCCTGCCATTTCCGAAGTCCATATACTTAATTTGAACTGTTTCATGTACATCCTAAATCTATTGATCATTCTTCAGATGCGAAATGATAATCTCTTACATTCCTATATTCAAAAGATCATTATATAGAATGAAAATGAGTAAAACAAAAAACATTTGTCAGACATTTTAGAAAAGAACACATTTTCTTTGGGAGCGCATGGAAGACTGGAAAATCGTGAGAACATTATTAAAATAAATGAATTCAGACTATTTTCTCATCCTTTAAAATAAAGTTCTCTTCTGTTGTTGTTCCTACAACGAGATCACAAACTTATTCTTCATAAATCACAATGAAAATAAACAGTCATACCAAGCAGTTGTTTTTAGGAAAGAAAATTTGGCTCGCCTGTAGACTCAACAATATCAAGTATGAAGGAGAAAGGGAAGGGGCAAGTGTCAGTCAGTTGGAAACCATACTCTCTGTTTCTTGCACAAAACCATCTCCTGTCCAATCTTTATCAGACTGCAACCCTTTCTTAATAGCTTTCTTCTGGCGAATAGCTTGTTGTTGTCTTTTGACCAAATCCATATGAGTGGTGAAATATGGTAGTGATGCTCTGAAGTTGAAGCCAATTAATACAAAATATTCAGTACATAACATAAACAACCAGAATGAATCCTGAATCCTCAAAGGGGTGCACATTTGAGGAGATTGGAAGGGCTTAAGAATCGATACATTAACTTTCCATTTCCTTTACAGCATAGCCAAACAACTAAAAATTTAAAAAGAAAAAAGAGAGGCAACCAATATAGAACCAGTAAATGCCTCAACAGAAGATATTTAAAGAGAGGCAACCAATATATAGAATCTCACAAACTGGTGTGATGATGAAACTAGACTACAAGGCCCTTGGCGTGCTTTAAACAACAACTCTTTACAACAACAAAAAACCCCACTTTTCCTCTTTTCATTCTCTTATTTGTGTTTGGATGGATAAGAAAGGTGGCCTTTGTTATTTGTGTGTGTAGTGAGTGCATGATACACACACATATGTATACATACATACATACATACATACATACATACATACATACATACATACATACATACACACATACATACATACATACATACATACATACATACATACATACATATAGAGAGAGAGAGAGTACCCTTTAAACTGTTGAATAGATGAAAATTTGTGCTTTTTCATGAAATCTCTGAGCTCTGAGCTCAGTTTCTTAACTAGTCCATAACCATGCATCATAACACCTGTGCAAACCTGTGTATGTGTATATTGAGAGACTCTAGGTAAGATTCATGTAAAAAGTTAGAGAGGGGGTATGATATACCTTTAAGAAACTTCAATCTGGAATAGCACAAACAACTTTTGCAATATAAACAAAGAGTTACTAAGACTCGTATCTTAATCCCAACATACACTTTTCACATAGCAGCACGGAACAATCATGTCTACTTATGCCCACAATTGTATAATAATCATTATATAACCATGTGCTAAGCAAAATTGGTGGTCATATCACGGTATTAAAAAATGCCAGCTTAAACCAATTTGGATGCGGGTCTAATATATAAGTGCACACGCCTGAACATAGGGGTGGGATCGTTTCAGTTCTTCAAAAAATATGAACAATTTGAGCACCCGTTTATATTAGTTCAGCTCTAACATTTTTTTGAAGAAGCGATATGAGTACCATTAGTATCATATCTTTTATTGATTAACCATTAACATATTAAAACCTAATATCAACCTAACAAATAATTAACCGCTAAGGCGCTAACTAACAAATAAATAATTAATAAGCAAAAAAAGTCAAGAAAGCAATTACTCCCTTTGTCCCACTATGATTGTCCCATTTTTCATTTTATGTCTGTCCCATTATGTTAGCCCATTCCATATTTGGTCATATTTGTGTCGTTCTAATTCATTGTTATTTTATTTACACTTTACTAATTCGATACTAATCCATTACTCTACTTATCTTAAAACCACGCCACCTCATCTGGTCCCAAACTTAGGGCCCGGTTGGTACACATGGGGAAGTAAACATTTTACACCGTTTGTTTTAAATATTTAATGTAAACTGGGTGGCACTTTTTTAAAACATTTTACATTGTACCATGTAAAATATTTTACGTGGTGGGAGGGTGGTAAACTATTTTACATCCTATTTTTAATACTCCGTATATCTATTTACGTCTGGAGTATGGAATCTCGGCGGCAATTCCTAGTAAAATAAAATCATCAACCATCATCAAATCCCAGTATCTCACCATAATCAATTCTCTTTTCCATCTTGTGGCACTGTGCGCACGTTCCAGGAGCTGTAATACCCTAGTTTATTTTATATTCTATATTATATATGTAATATATTTTTATATACACCCACGTAGTATATATATAGATATCCCTGTGTTTTTGGTTCCTTATAGATGCATAATTTTGAGGAAGAGAGCTGATATTTATATTTAAATAAAGTTCAACAATTTTTTAGTGATTTCGTCCTTGCACCCACTCTCTCGTCTAGCCGTTTCATACGCATCTTTAATTTTTTCAATAAGCTAAGCGGTCCTTTTTCTAAATATTTTACATGTGAAATTATTTTCCAAACAAACAATGTAAAGAATTTGCGTGTAATTTAAAAATAGGGAAAACTGTCAAATAGGTCCTCGAACTTTCATAAAAAAGTCAATGAAGTCCTTCTATGGGAGACTTTGTCCGGTCGTCGCGATTTGGGCCGGTTCCCGGTGGAATTTTTTGATGAAATTTTTTGAGCATCTTATTCATCGAGTCTAGTTTACTCATACCAAATTTCAGCTAAAAATTTAATCGGGAGTGCATTCAAATTAATTCGAGAACGCAAAAATGCGCAGTTATCTTCAAGAATTCATTTGAATGTGTTCCCAATTGAATTTTTAGCTGAAATTTGGTATGCGTAAACTAGACTTGGTGAATAAGATGCTCAAAAAATTTCATCAAAAAATTCCACCGGGAACTGCCCCAAATCACGACGGCCGGACAGAACCTCCTATAGAAGGACCTAATTGACCTTTTTATGAAAGTTTGAGGACCTATTTGACTGTTTTCCCTTTAAAAATAGATTACATGCATAGCCAAACGATGTATTTCTATTTTACATACAAACTATTTCACCGCCCTAAACTTTACATGCAATTACTTTGCACGTAAAGTTTTAATGTGTGAACTACCAAATGGGCCCATATATGTATATGTGTGTGAGTATACACAGTTACACACACACACACACATATACATTAAATAACAGTTTCTTAAGATTTTTGCTAACAAATTTTAGTAGAACTGGGAACTGAACCATTAACAACGACTAGGAAATAGGAACTGAAATGTTAAGAACTTATACCACTATAAGTAAGAACCAAACCGGGTCATAATGGTTCAGTTCTAATCAATTCTCCGGTTCCCCAATATAAAATCCCAGCCCTACCTGGACAGTATCTGCTCCAAGAAGTATAAACTCGGCAGCGTCGCTACCTGTCTCAACACCTCCAATACCAGAGAGTGAATACTCTTTATTATCCCTAAATTCAGATTTCATCATTTTTGCTATGTTCATTACATTTGCTAGAGCAATTGGATGCACAGCCTTGGATGAATAGCCTCCGGGAGTTGAATATCTAGATTTAAAAAAACGGGGGGGAAGGAATGGGTAAATAGGGAGTTAGATAAATAGATGCACACCATATTCCTTTTGAATACTAACCCTTCAACACAAGGCTCGGGGCGCAAAGTATCTAGATCGATGCCCATGACACTCATGATCGTATTTATTGCAGACACCCCCTTACATCCTGCTTTAAGAGACACCCTAGCTGGCTGTGAGACACCCCCAAGGTACAAAAGAAATGCAATTAATGAATACGGGTACTTTTTAAGATGGTACCTGTGAAATATATTTACATATTTTTTCTTCCTTTGGATTAATCTATATGATGTGAATACCTTTGTAATGTCAGTGATATTGGGTGTCATTTTTGCCCAAACAGGGACTGTAGCCACATCATTAATCCATCCACAGACCTCCTCCAAAAGTTCACAATCTTGTCCAACAGCAGCACCCATTTTACGTTCTGGCATCCCATGAGGACATGAAAAATTGACTTCAATGGCATCCTATAAATAAATAAATAAATAAAAGTAAAAATATATAAATAAAAATTAATGATAATAATGGTTTTAAGGTAAAGAATGTGTGTAAAGAAAAATGGAGTAGCAGATAATGATAGGGGTGTTGATTGCTTACTACTCCAGTCTCCTCAACCCGGTAAATGAGTTCCTCCCAGGCAGCTTTATTATACTCTTCCATGACAGAAGCAACAAGTATCCTCTCAGGGTACTCATCTTTCAACTGTTTGAACTCTTTCAACATTGTTTCCAAAGGTCTATCACTTATCAGTTCAATATTTTCCCACCCAATAATTTGTCCTCTACCAGAACCACCAATGGACGATCCTGCTCTAAGTTTAGCATATCGAGGAGTTACATTTACAACCTTTGCAGCATCGAGGGAAACCTATATACACTCAACGCATATATGTATTTCAGCATGAATACAGGGGTGGAGAGAAGATTAATTTGGTACGGACCATATATGTAAGAAATGTGATGAACCATAGATTTTTTACCAAAGTGGGAAATGGAAGATTAATTGGACCAAAAAGAAGATGCGGAAGATAATTCAGGGGTGGAGGGGTACTTCATTTAGTTTGAAACTGTTCTTTAACAAGTGTACTTTATAGCAAACTTTTGCTATTGGATATAATGTACTTATTTAACGTGTTTCCCATGGATATACTTCATTTACTATTCTGCTCCCACAGTTTTATTCCTGGATCCGGATACAGCTAAACATCCAGGACTTGGAAGGAAAAAAAAAGTTGTAAAGCGATGAGTAAGCTACCGTTTTGGCGATGACCGCGCCCCATCCTTCGTCAAAGGCCCTCTTCATAACAGTGTAGTTGGTGCCGGGAGGGCCAGAACCGATCACAAATGGGTTTGGCATTTTTAAACCGTTTACGGTGATACTGAGATCGGGCTCTGCTGTCTGATTTTCCGACGCTGACATCCTCAAGCTTCTTCTACCGAGACGGCAAAGCCGTGGGCGCACCATCTCCGGAAAATCCGCTGTGTGCTTCTTCTTGTAGAGTCGCATTTGAATTGTCTGAGTTAATCCCATCGACGCCATCTCTGCTGCTATGCGCCCACTAAATTCGGGCTGTGTGGATGAGGAGCATATCACAGGGAACCAGAACTATTTTTGAGCAGGTGCAGGAATATGGTAATATATATGGTACAATTTGTCCATAGAGTATGGTGGGTTTTTTGTAATTAAATTCAATTTATAGGGTAAAGGTTAGATTGATGGCTGCTTTTGTTTTTCTTTCTCCACCGCCACTGTTCCGTTATTTGTCCATCTGTTTTCCGTTTTTCTTGCTGCTACGGTTTTATCTTTCTTGTTTTTTTGTTTTCTCTTTTCTGTCGTTGCTTTTCATTTCTTGCTTTTCACTTGTTCGTTCATTTTCAGTTTAATTTCTTTTGTTGTTTTCTGTTTTTAGTTTTTTCTTTTCTTTATGTTTTTCTTTGCCATGCTTTATTTTTTATTCAATCATTATGCAAATTTATAATCTAAAGTATGGTTAATGTTTGAGTTTGTTTTTTCTTCTTTTTCCAATCAACCTTCTAATTAGATTTTGTTTTATTTCTGCATTATATGTATGCTCATTTGATACTGATGTGATGCTCATATTAAAATGTTATATCAATGCATATTTCAAAAATAGCATATTACATTTGATTCAAGTAGGATTTAATTACATATATGAGAACACGGACCACAATATTCAATTGCATTTTTTTTAATACGTAATAGAGGAGATTTGATGCTCAATATAAACGTCTTCATACTTGCTCAACTAAAAAAACTTATGATTTTCCTACTAATGCTCATTTTATACTTTACAAATGCTCAATCGGTACTCTTTTTTTTACTTCAGGGGGGTCAAGGGGAGGGGGCCATGGGCCTGAAGTAATCAGGGTTGAAACTCATTCTATTGAGTTTCGAACTCTTACGCTCAATCAGTATTCAATTTCACGCTTTTAATACTCAGTAGAGGAGGTTTAATGTTCAATGAGAAAAGGTCTTGATGCTCAACTAAAAACTCTTATTATTTTCATATTAATACTTATTTTGTAAGCTACATATGCTCAATCGATACTGATGTTATGCTCATTTTTAAAATGTCATATCAATGCATATTTCAAAAGTATCATATTACATTAGATTCACATATTGAACTTCATATGGATTGATTGTAGATATAATTTAATACATTTCTATAAAGGAAAAAGTGTTAAAAGAAGATGAATTAGAAGATATGAAGCAGAGATTGTGATGCTCAATATTAGACTCCTAATACTCAACAAAATAGGTCTAGTGCTAATTAAAAGTTCGTTAATGATCATTTAACATAAAGTGTTATTTTCATCTCAATATAGGAGGTTTGATGCTCAATGAAAGTATCGTGACGTCCAACTAACAAAGTTGTGTATGCTCATTTTTAAAATGACATATCAATGCATACATCAAAATTACCATATTACATTAAATTTGCATATTGAATTTTACAAAAGTTCATTATAGATGATATAATTTGATAAGTTTTTATAAAACAAAAAATAAGAAAAACAAAGCCAATTACAAGATATGAAGGAGAGATCATGATGTTCATTGTTAGACGTTTAATACTCAATAGAATACGTCTGATACTCATTAAAAGTGTATTAATAATGCTCATCTAACAAAAACCACGATCTTCACTGAAATTACGAAAATGCCACTGTTTTTTAGTTGTGATATCAGTTTTTTTGTCATAACACGATGCTCATTATTAGACGCTTAATACTCATTAAAATTGGACTATTGCTCATTAACAGTACACTAATGCTCATTTAGTAGAAACCGTGTGTTGAGGTTTATTCCTTCAACCCTCGGGTCCAACACGTAAGCCCAAGAGTTTCGAGTGGAGTGTGTATAAATAACTAGCCCAACTAACAAGGGAGATGGATTAGGAAACAATAAGTAGCAAGTAAGTGATTAAGTATTATTGATCTGTTAATAACTCCCTAATACAATACTTTTCGCTAAAGGCTCGTCGGTCGTTCGTCTTACAAGGCAGTAGAAGTGATGCGGGTAAGAGGACTATAAGCTAGAGTGCTAAGAATAGAAAGTTGTTAACCCCTCATAATGAAATAAATGTTGCTATTTATACCACCAATGGGCAGCTGGCTACGCTGACGTGGAGGATTGTGAATGGCTGGTGCTCCAACCACCAAATCTTCAGCATTAAATGCGCTTCCCGCCAGGATCTGGATTTCCCGCCTAATTAGTGGAGACATTCGTCCAGCTGGGGGGTGAGTCGCTTCTGGTGATATCGCAAAGGGTAGTGGGCCGTCCGTCCCTTGGCCCTTGTGGATTTGCCATATGGATTGAATTGCCTCCAGTGGTTATGGGCTTGCTCTGACGACGTCCGTCGTCACCATAGTGGTCTGTGGGCCTGATTCACTGTCAACTGAGTAGCCGTTCGTCGGAATGGGCTGGTAAGCCAAAGCCTTAGTCATGACGTTCGTCCTTCCTAAGTTGCCTGTCAGCTTAGCCTACCTAGTTCTGTCTGGACGTACGTCCGAATGAAAGGGTAAATGGGCCGGCCCTCTGCTTGGGCCATTAACCCAACATAAGTCCCCCACTACTGATGTTCTGAGCGAGCGTAGGACATAAGGAAGTATAACGCTCCCCATGGTAAGACGTTCATAGCTTGGTACTTTGTGTTTGTCGCGTTTAGAAAGGGTGGACGTTCCTCTCCGCGACGTGTCTCATTTGGTGGCGGTTCAGGAATCGAGGTGACGGCTGTCGCAGAATCGGTACATTTTCCTAGGTGAGATCATCATTACATTCTCATTCCACGCGTGGCGCGTGCACCCGGGTACGCTCCTTGCCACGCGGTGCCTTTTCATTGGCTTCTGAATCGGTGCCTCTCCTATAAATATCAGGGCTTCCTTTGGGCTTAGGGTTTCCAATTCCTGCTTTCTCGCTCTAGGATCTCTGCTGCTCTGTGCTCAGTTCGTCCACACAGTCCCTAGCTTGCCTCCGTCCCAAGGTATTTCGGGCTTTCTTCCCCTTTTGTGAATATTTTTTCGATCTTCCCCATGGCTTCTATGGAAATCTCCTCGAGTTCTGGTTTGGGTTCCTCTTCCGGCTCTTCCTCTGGCTCTGAGTCCAGTTCTCGTTCTTCTGAAGGTGCCAGTACTTCTGGCCGCTCCGGCCTCCCGCCTGTAGTAGGAATGATTGTGCAAGACAATGCTCCTGAGAGATCTACCTCCACGAGCATCTCCTCAACAGACGCAACCCAGGGTGACGCGGCCCCCGGGGGAGGTGGGGATGATGCCCCCCAAGGAGGAGCAATCCAGATGGCCGTGGAAGATGCGGCCGCTCATGGTGATCACCCAGCTGATTACGACTCTGGCGTCGAGGCCTTTGACGGCTCCGACGTAGAGGTATTCGATCTAGGTCTTACGGTTGATGTGGAGTGTCACCTTTGCCCAATAAAGAATGCGATTGGTCATGAGCAATTCTTCTCGGACCCGGCCCTTGAGGTGCTCCGGATCTACTTCCCTGATCCGCATAGCTACAGCCTCCAAGGCGCGACCCACGTGATGAGGAGACGTCCGGGGATGGTTATGGTGCATTTTGATTCCATCAGGGCCAGTTTGCAATTCCCTCTCCACCCCTTTTACATCGAGTTTTTTAGCTGTTTCCAAGTAGCTCCTGCGCAGTTCATGCCCAACTCCTACCGCTTCATTTCCTCATTCCTGGTTCGTTGCAAGGGCGTTGGAGTCACTGCAACTTTAGAATTGTTCCATTTCTTTTTCCGGGTCACCCCCCAAAACTCAGACGGGTATCTGAGCATAGCCGCTCGTCCAACGTCCATCCACGAATGGAAAAACAAATACTTCTTTGTCCGCTACGCGGACGCTCGTCTGCCGATCCGCTGGAATGGATATCCTCCGAAGATCGGTTCTCCTAAATTGTCCGACGAGCTGGAGGGGTAAGCCAAGGAATTGCTGGATGTCGGAATCCAAGATGTGGAAGACCTCACCACTTTCGAGAAGCTCGCCGAAGCGGGAATAGGTACCGCCCGAATCTCTAGACTCCCCTTTCCCTTACGTTCGTCCCTGGGATCCGGGCGGTCCTGTTCTCCAAGGTGAGTACTTTAAGAGCCACGCCGCCCGGTGCTAACTCCTTGTGTTTTATCGTTTCAGGTCTTTCTCCAACCGACTCTCAGATGAATCACGCCAAACTGATGAAGACTAGGAAAGGCAAGGGTGCGGCCGCCGACGCCGCTCTGGCTAAGGCCAAGGCCATCCAGGCCGCTGACTCTAATTCCTCCGCCTCTCAGGCCGATCGACGTACGGTCGAAGCGGAGCAGCACCTTATCGCCACGGTGATGGCTCAGGGCGTCCACATGCCCCTTGCTGACTCTGGCGTCCCCGACGTGGTGGCGCCCCTGCAGACAGTCCTTCCTCCGGGTGGGAAAAAAGTGAAGGAGAAGAAGACGAAGAGGGCCCGCGAGGCTGGCTCTTCGGCCCCCGTAGAGCAGGAGGCAGCCCTTCTCCCCTTGGGACGTCCAGCCCATGACGTCAGGCAAGAAATTGCTTCTCTGGCCGGGGTAGATATGCCGGCCCGGACGTCCTCGGAGGCTACTAACGCTGCTCTAGCCGCCGCTCTTCAGGTAAGCCTCTGCCTCATGTTGAGTAGCTGATTACAGTTCTGGAGGTTCGCAATCCTAAACATATGTTCTCTACTTGCAGGTTGGGCTCTCCGTGCTGCAGGCTGAGGCTGCGAGGGATGCTGACGCCCTCCAGGCTAAAAACAAAGCGGACGCTGCCTTGAAGAAGGCTCGAGAGGCTGCCCGTCTCCTAGAGAAAGACGTGGCCGCCAAGGGCGAGGAGTTGCAGGCCGTCCGGCAAGAAGCTCGTGAGTCGGCCGAGCGTATTGCTGCCTTCGAGAGGGCCGGGTTCAAGCTCATCCTGGTCCTTCCCGCTCAGAGGGATGTGGCGCCTGAGTGGATCGTTGATACCTCTGGGTATGAAAATACCGGGGCGTTTATGTGACACCCCGAAAAAAAAAAAAAAATTACTAGTCAGATACAATGTTACGAAAGTCACATTTTTATAATTAAGTGAATCAGATAAAATTTTAACATTGGTAACAACTTTAATCAGATAAAAATGTTTCAAT